GGAAACAGCAGTCAAGAAATCAGATGACGTATTGCATTAGGCAAATCTGCTGCACAAGACCTTTTGAAAGTGTTGAAGAGCAAAGATGTCAGCTTGAGGACTAAGGTGCACATGACCCAAGCCATGGTATTTTCAATACCCTCATATGCATGCGAAAACTAGGCAGTGAATAAGGAAGACCATAGAAGTATTGATGCTTTTGAGTTATGGTGTTAGAGGAGAATATTGTTAAGTGCCATGGGCTGCCAAAAGAACCAATAGATCTGTGTTGGAAGAAGTGCAGCCAGGGTGCTTCTTGGAGGCCAGGGTGGCCAAACTTTGTCTCTCATACTTTGGACATATTGTCAGAAGGGACCAGTTGCTCAAGAAGGAAATTATGTGTGTTAAGGTGTGTGTGGTGGGGGGGGAGGGAGGTCAGAGAAAAAGAGGAAGGCCCCCAGTGAGAAGGATTGGCAAAGTGGCAGCATCAATGGTTTCAAGTATGGCAACAGTTGTGAGGCAGAGTTTCATTCTGTTGTGCACTGGGTCGCTATGAGTCAGTACCAACTCACTGGCACCTAACAACAACAAGAAGTAAATTTTTGTTAAAGATAATTTAAAAATGACTGCAACAGTGCATTGACAGCGAACTGCTGGAGGTCCCGACAAGAACATGGAATGAGGACTATCATTGCTGACGTCAAATGGATCTTGGTTGAAAGTAGAGAATACCAGAACTATGTTTACTTGTGCTTTATTGACTAAACAAAGACTTTTGATTGTGTGGATCATGACAAGCTGTGGACAACATTGCAGAGCATGAGTATTCCAAAACACTTAATTGTGTTCAAGGGAACATTGAATGGTTTAATATCAGGAAAGGTGTGTGCCTGGATTGTTTATTTTCACCATATTTTTTCATTCTGTATGCTGAACAAATAATCCGAGAAGTAGGATTTTACAAAGAGCATGGCATCAGGATTGCAGGAAGATTCATTAACAACCTGAAATATGCAAATGATACAACCTTGCTTGCTGAAAGCAAAGATAACTTAAAATATTTACTGATAAAGAACATCATGATAAGTGGAGAAAATATTGAAAGTTGTCAAAGACTTCATTTTGCTTGTATCCAATATCAATACTCATGGAAGCAGCAGTCAAGAAATTAGATGATATGTTTCATTAGGCAATCTTATCTCTGTTTCTCATGATGTTATTTATTAGTCCAGTGGTGAGACTCTTCA